GGGGAGGTGAGCAGCGGTGTAGAGTCCAAATATTTCCCCGAGCCAGGAGAAATCACCCCCCTACTTAATCATCCCGAGCCAACAACGACGACGACAACAACAATAACAACAACAACAACAAAATGGTGTAGTCTCTCTCGACAAAAGAAAGTCCAAGAGATAGGTCGTGGCATGGCTGATAGAAGTGCCGCTATATGATCTTGAGGCCATGGGCCTTAAACATGGTGGAAGACAATGGATAAAGATGGCGAGAAGAGAGGGATGGATAGATATGGGAAGACACTTGGGTGAAAGGCTGATCCCAGGAGGCTCCCATTTATAGAAAGGGAGGTAGCGAAACCGATGGCGCCATTATTGCCCTCGAAAGACGTAACGGCAGGCACATTTACTACGTTATTAGGAGATGAACCGGTGGCGACATTATAGCTTTGAAGAATGAGGAACCGTAATCTTTGAATGATCCTGGAGAAGTGAAATGACGGGACTTTTTGGTTATCATAGATACTTGCGTCATCTGTATGATGTCATCGCTAGAACTCCGAAGAGTAGGATATCAAAATCATTTCTTATCGCTCCTCTCTAAGAAACGCGAGGACGATCTATATGCGGTGAAATTGAAGGGTCTAATTCCTCGTCATCGAGGCACCACAGAAGGTCATCTCGAAGTCTCGAGGCTACAAGGATATGGTCGAGTTTCCTCCCTCGAGGTTCGTTGATGCCCGATCTTGGGACAATGTTGACCACGGCAATGGTAGAAATGGGGAGTTCCCAAGGTACACGACTAGGACTGACAGAGCCTAGTGGACTACCCTAACCCTGAATCAGGGTGTCATCTAGCTGTCCCATCTCTGCTTCTTTGTCATTAATATATTTTGTACTATGTTGGGATTCCTCCTATATAAAGGGGATCCTTGTCATTTTGTAAACCTCTGTTGCTTCAGTTGCTCCACACAAAATATACAAGAAGATTTGCTCTGCTCTCTAACACATTCTCTTTATATTATTGCTTCCATTTATTATATTTATTATTGTTCATAATTTATTGCTTATCATTGGCTGTAAAGGGCCTTTGTTGATTTTATTATAACTGTTAGTCACACCTCGATCACCTTTGATAGCTCATAGCTAAGCTCCGGAATCGACCTCGAGGCCCCGATTATTAACCTATCGATTTGATTATCACTTTACCCCTTACTCTTATCTTGTTTCTAAGTCTCACATACATAGCATCAGCTGCTTAACAACTAGCATAAAATAGATCACGTATTTTTAGAGTCCTATAATCAAATTTAATTGTTATTACCATTTTCACGGTAAACAGCGTTATATACGCACCACCACCTGATCAGCTGGTATACATTGATGATTTGCCCATAGTGGCCGAGATGATATGATGGGTTGCCCTTAGAGGCTTGATGATGTTATGAACACATGTACCTATGCACAAAATGACATCCATACTCATATGCATGAAACTATAAATATTTCATAATTTACAGAGTTATCCAGACTTACAGGTTGAGTCATTTACTCTACATTTCTTCCATGTTTGTTATGTACTTATTTATGTGCCTTACATACTCGGTACATTACTCGTACTGACATCCCATTTGCCTGGGAACGCTACGTTTTATGCCCACAGGTCCCGATAGACAGGTCGAAAGCCCTCCAAGTAGGCTATCAGCTCAGCAGAAAATGTTGGTACGCTCCATTTTCTTCGGAGTTCCTTGTTTTGTTAGTATGATTTAGACGTATATTGTTTGGTATGGCGGGACTCTGTCCTGACCTTTATGAAAATTATGTATTCGTAGAGGCTTATAGGCAGATGTCATGTATCTAAAAGATTGTATGGCCTTGTCGGCCTATGTTCACTACATAAGTGATTATTTTGGTCTTATAGGCCCGAACTTCATATGTATAAGTTTGTACTCCCTCATGCTTTACTCTGGTTCATTCACCTCTGATAGAATGATATGAAAGATATGTTATGTTGGTACTCGATTGACTAAGGTACCGGGTGCCCATTGCGGCCCATCGGTTTGGGTCGTGACATCTTGCGAATGGAGTTTTCAGGTATTGAAGGACAGATTAACTTCAGCACTAATTCTAAGGCTCCCAGAAGGGACCGATGGTTAAGTATCTATTGTGACGCTTCGGACATTGGATTGGGTTGTGTATTGATGTAGCATGGTAAGGTTGTAGCTTATGCTTCTAGATAACAAAGAAAGCATGAGAAGAATTACTCGACCCACAATTTAGAGTTAGTCGCAGTGATTCATGCACTAAAGATGTGGAGGAACTATTTGTATGGCAATCATGTTGATATCTATATGGATCATAAGAGCCTCCAGTATATCTTCAAGCAAAAGGAAATGAATTTAAGTCAAAGGAGATGGTTGGAGCTACTTAAAGATTATGACGTTGATATTTTATACCATCCGGGGAAGTCGAATGTGGTAGCCGATACCCTCATTCGTAGATCTATGGGTAGCCTATCATATTTACAGCCAAAGAAAAGGGGAATAGCCCATGAGATTCATCAGTTAGCTAGTCTTTGAGTTCGGTTACTGGACTCAGGTGATATTGGAATTAGTATTCAAGATACAACAACATCCTCTTTAATAACTGAAGTGAAGGAACGCCAGTACGAGGATCCTATGTTAGTTCATTATAAGGACACCACCCCTCAGAAAGAGAAGACACCATTTGAGATTACAGAAGATGGGGTCCTCAGATATCGAGGACGATTAGGTGTCCCTAATGTAGCAGGGCTGCGTCGGCATGTTATGGGAGAAACTTATTATTCTCGTTATTCTATCCGTCCAGGAGCAATAAAGATGTATCATGATATCAGGGAAGTATATTGGTGGGATGGAATAAAAAAGAATATAGCGGAGTTTGTTTCCCAGTGCCCTAACTGTTAGTTGGTTAAGATTGAGCATCAAAAGCCCGGTGGATTATTGCAAGCTATGGAGATTCCGACTTGGAAATGGAAGTAATTAATATGGATTTCATCGTAGGCTTACCTCGTACACAGCATAAGTTCGATTCTATATGGGTAATTGTTGATAGGCTTACAAAATCAGCCTATTTTCTGTCCATTATGACTACATATTCCGCAGAAGATTATGCAAGGCTTTATATTAAGGAGATAGAGGAGCTCAATTTACATCTAAATTCTGGAGGTCCTTCCAAAAAGGATTGGGGACTTAGGTAAGTCTTAGCAAAACATTTCATCCCTAGACAGATGTACAGGCTGAGTGTACTATTAAGACAGTTAAGGATATGTTACGGGCTTGTGTGATAGACTTCAAGGGTAGCTGGATGATCATCTGCCGCTTTTTGAGTTTACACATAATAATAGCTACCATTCCAGTATTCAGATGGCTCCATACAAAGCTCTTTACGGACGGAAGTGTAGGTCACCTATAGTGTGGTTCGATGTTGGGGAAGCTACGTTAGTAGGATCGAAATTGGTACAACAGGCAATCGAGAAAATTAAGCTTATACAGGAAAGGCTATTAGCAGCTCAAAGCCGTCAGAAGTCTTATGCAGATAATCGACGGCGAGACTTAGAGTTTTAGGTTGACGACTGGGTATTCCTAAAAGTTTCATCGATAAAAGGTGTAATGAGGTTCCGTATGAAAGGAAAACTTATCCCTCAGTACATTGGGCCATATAGGATTATACGCAAGGTAGGCCAGGTAGTATATGAGTTAGACTTGCCTTCGGAATTAAAGTCTGTACATCCATTCTTTTATGTGTCTTTGCTCCATAAATGTATCGGAGATCTTTCCAAAATTGTATACATTGATGACGTTCAGGTCACAAAGCAGCTATCATATGAAGAAACACCCATTGTTATACTAGATAGACAGGTTCGGAGATTGAGGACTAAAGATGTAGCTTCGGTGAAACTACTTTGGAGAAACAATAATGTGGAAGAAATGACCTAGGAGGCCAAATAAGACATGAAGTCTAGATATCCTCACTTATTTCTTCTTCCAGAGAAGGGTCGAACTGAGACATGACAACCTTAAGGTACGTGTATGGATTCTTGTGTTAGCTAATGTCATTGGTCGTGTGAGGCCATTGTCGTTATTGATGATTTTGGTCCTATGTGGCGATTATTGAGTTTCTACTGGAATAGTTGGTAGTTGTATTATTACAAAGGAGACTCTGTCAAAGTTTATATAGATCCTGAGGATTTAAACATTCGAGGATGAATGTTTCTAAGAGGGAAGGATATTATAATCCGCATTTCATACGTAATAATTTCATCATAAGTTAATCGATGTAGACTCGGGGATGAGATTATCTTGAGGTTATAGGTATTTATGCTATTTATAACAAGCGATATATAAGTGTCGTGGAGGTTAAAGGGTAAATGAATCAAAGAAAGTGAGTTTCATTGAAATTTATCGATATGTGATAGAATATGGTCTAAGCTGCAATACCTGGTATTTATGAACTAGTTTCATACAAGGTATTACATGACTATGATAGTAAGGTGTATAAGGTATGTTAAAAGTGAGTAATATTTTAAGTAAGCTAAGATAATTCTTAATTATGTGAGTAATTGGTTAATTAATACCTAATTAATTAAATATTACTAGATAAAGATTAAATTCCCCCCCACCCCCCCCC